GGGAGTAAGATGAGAAGGAAAGGTCTGGAGCATGGGCCTCTGCTGTCGTGGGAAGGCTAAAGAGGATGTAGTGGTCAAGGTTACACATTAAGGTGACGGAGGAGGAGGGCATAGAAAGGGGTTTTCAAGGCCCACCCACTGCAGACACTTAGCATCGTCTCAAGCAAGAGAAAACCACTCTCTGTGTGCAACCCACACAGTGTTAACCAGCCTGTGGCCTGTCCCAACGTGGAGCTCCAGTTAGAAGAAATGCCAGCTCAAAACTGGAAGTAATTGAGAAGCATTTTAAATCTTTACTAACATCTGCTGAAAAGCACCCAAGAAAGTTTGCATTTAGAACACCAGCAACACATCCTAAAAGTTTTCTTGCATTATTTCTCTTTTAATGGTGCTCAGGGCTCTTTTCTTTCTTCCCCCCAAACTGTGGGCTCTCTCCAAAACTTGGCCGGGAGGGGGGGCATGGTTCTTCTAGTTTCTCTCCCTTTTCCTTCTGCTCCCAAGGACATGTAGTATCTCTGACTTTCACAGACTTCTGGTCACCAAGGCTTTTTCATCCTGGGGTGAAGAGGAACAGCGGGAAGGGTGTGCAGACAGAGGAAGAGAGTTCTATGAATATTCATATTTTTCTCTTACCCGTCTCAGACATATTTATATTAAATGAACCCTCTATGGAGCAGTGGAAAAACAGGAGGCTCTGTTCTGAAGTCCTTACTGATGAGTAGCAGCTACTATTTCTGTTTTTCAGCTTTTTGCCACCAGACCACATCTCCTGTGAAGCCCAAAGGACTAGCTTAGAGACTTCTAGAAAAATGCATTCACGTTTTTCTATTTGTATGAGCCACATCTGGCAGAGAAATCAGAAAGTTTGGGTGTCACTTTGTCACGATGCTTCAATGGAGCTGTATTCATTCTGTATGCTTTTGATAGATTGTGTGACAGATTTTACTGAATGACCATCTAAAACCTAAGCTGGGAGGGTTCACTGCTGAGCTACCTCATTGCCAATGACACAAAACATAGCACTGATAAATTGGTTTAATTATTCTGTCCAAAACAGAAAGGCAGCCATAATTACTGTTGGGAGAAATTATTTGAAGACGCTTTCATTCTTCATCCCGGTGAACAATTAACCAAGCCCTCCAGCTAATGACGCAATGTCCACTTTATTTGTTTGTGTAAACATGAGCAGTGCATAAAATTAATGGACAACGCACTTCAGTCCTAGGCAAAATGAATCATGGAAAAACAAAGTGCTTGGACTGTATATATTTTTATCCTGCTTTAGTGAACTTTCTTTGAAAGGCTTGGGAAAGTGGTGACATCTCAGACAACATGTGAAAGTAATAGGCATCCAGAATGCTTGCCAAACACGAGTGGATTTGACCCATTATTTATATGTGGGGAGGATGTTTCTGTGAGGCCCGTCTCTCCATCTTTAGACTCCAGTGACATTACAGGCACAACCGTCTTGAACCCTAATTTTCCATTACAGCTTTTCTCTTGGTTGTTTGTTTTTCATGCTAGGTGGATCGTTTCTGAGGTTAGGGTTTTCAGGTGTTCACATAATATTTTCCATTGGTACCTTTGTAGCCTTTCCTAAGACAAAGACAGTCTTCTGGCCATTAGTATCAGGGAGGGGGTGGGGGAGAGCTCAAGACCATTCTTAGGACCTTTGGAGGAAGGAGAAATGTAATGAAGAACCTTGAGACAGTGTTTTAATTAAGCACCCCCCAAACCAAACAGCACAGCATTCAATGATTAAAACCAGATTGGCAATGTTGAGTCTTGTGATCTCCGCTCCAATCTCTGCCTCACCACCATGTGAAATGATAATAGTAACACTTATTCTGAACTAAATCTCAACCTTCTTTCATCCTCAGAGAAGACTCTGCTGGTAGGATAAGCATGAAAGATGAGGGGAAAATGAAAGACCTATTTTAATCTGAATTGCTTGGATCCTTCCCACCTACAGGTGAATAGGGATATTGTGTCAGGACTGAAATACGTTCAGCATACCTACCGGACTGGGGTGAAAGGTAAGGGACCCACACATTACACTGTCTCAAACTCTGCTCCCCACTGATACCTAATCTTCTGCTTATTAGCAATCTTAATCATAGACTCATGTACGAATCTGATTAAAAGCTGTGGGCCCTCCCCCTAGGAAAAAGCACATATCCCTCCGACCTAGACATCAATAATGAGGCCTACATCCAGAGATCCAGTTTCAACTGGGTCAGCCACTAACCTTCAGCATTCAGCTTCTGGAACTTAAGCTTATTACTCATAAAGGGGAAGAGTAACCAAGATAAGTTTGAATCAAAATGGAGTATATTAAAATACTTTCAAAAGTGGGGGGAAAAGAAAGGAGTTCACAGGTATATGCCTAGTGTTAGAGAAATCCAAGACCAGAAAGATCTATCCAATGATATGTGTGTCTTTTGGGAATGGGATATGGAAGTAACATGTGAGCAGGTGTGGGGTGGAAGTGGGGGGCAGGGAGCAGCACTAAATTTTTAAAATAAAGAAATAGAATTCTCTCTAGAGTTGAGAAAAGCTATGACCGAAACATAACGTAACACTACTCGATCCGCAGCTGCTCTTGACAAATTGTACCTAAACTGTACATGCCCTGGGGAACCGCCTCCAGTTTCCTTCCATTACTACGGACAGGGAGAAATGACACTTGGAAAGATGATAGAAGTATTCTTACAGCTCCTTCTTCCCTTGGGGGCTCTCTCCTTCCAGAGGTGGGAGACAGTACTGCACAGATCAGTTCCATCAAATTAATGAACAAAGGATTTGGAGAGAAACTGTCTGATAAATTTGCAGGGCATAGACAACCACTCAATGACTCAAATTCCACAGAAGGTTATTGACCTGGAAGGTCTTAAGGTCTTTCCAATGCCAAGTCTCATGAAAAAGTAGGTCAGTTTCCTATTTTCCTTGGGTATGGAGACAACATCATCTCATTCAAGCAAGAGGATGATGATGTATCCATAGGTGTCCCTCCAAACTTCTTCACATTTAAAAGCTAACTGCACATTGCCTGCCTGTCTGCCTACCTACCTGTAGTTATACTTTCTAAAGCTCCACTTTCCTTAATATACATCCCAGTATTCACCTATTTAGAACTTTGGTTGACTATTTTCAACATTTGTGAAGACTTCAGCCAGTCTTGGGAACTGTGGCTCTTGGCTTTGCGCACTGTGAGCTGTGCTCTGAATTTTCCAGTTTGTTGTGTTTGTTTTCTCTCTGTCAGACTCTTACCCCAACGAACTTTCCTTTCTTCCTAGTGGATAAAGCAACATTTATGGTTGGCAGCTACGGGCCTCGGCCAGAGGAGTATGAGTTCCTGACTCCGATTGAGGAGGCTCCCAAGGGCATGCTGGCCCGAGGCACTTACCACAACAAGTCCTTCTTCACCGACGACGACAAGCATGACCACCTTACCTGGGAGTGGAACCTGTCCATTAAGAAGGAATGGACAGAATGAGTGCATCTACTCTTCCCTTCCTCACCTTGCCATCCAGAAGTACCCTCTCAGTCGTATTCATCACCCTGTCCCTCCTCCCTGTTCACAGCTAGGTCCTTTCCCCAAAGAGCCCCCACATTCTGTTATCAATGCTTCTTATCCCGCAATGTCTCTCTAAGTGGTCCCTGGCACAAGATGCTTAACACCCAGACGTTAATCCCGCCCACTCCTTCCAATCCCCATCATGGCCAGATCTTCAAAATTCTTTGTCTGAATACATAGTCATTTAATATGTCCTTCTATTTTTCCCATTTGAGCAACTAGAGGCCAGGAAATAGGCAAACTATCACTAACAGTCCTCTGCCTTGGGTTCCAGGAGCTCATTCCCATCCCTGGATTATTCTGTGGTTGCTGCTGGCTCAATGAAGGTCCCTAATCACGTTCCCTGCCAGTTGGGGTTCTTCTTTTCTGGGAGACACTGTAAACAATACAAGAGTAAATAAAACAGTTGTATGATCTGACTGAGACCCTCATTTCCCTGCTTTCTTTCTTTGAGCAAATATGATAACTACATTGTTCACATTTGTGAGTTTCTTCAGAGTGTGTGTGTGCCAGACACAGTAGAGAAGGTATTTACATCACTAAAAACATTTAGTCTCCCTGTTCTAGTACAATGAGTGATGAAAGATGAATATTCAGAATATGAATTGTAGAAATCCTGAGCTATTTTATTTTATAGTAGTATCATACCAGGCTCTTCTGGGCCTGAGACCTATATATCCCACTGCCGATGGGAATCCTATCTTGGATTTGCGAGGGCCTCTGTGGGCCAAATCAGCCACTGCTGCTCTCCAGCTTATGACCTCTCAATATGATCCCAATTGCCTAGAGAATAGGATACTACACTTCTCGCATAATGCCCCCTACGATCTGGCCTAAATTCAATTACTAATAATTTTCTCACACATTACATTTGCACCTCCATGTTTGGGCTCTTTACATGAAACTCTCTTTCCACCTCTGCTGCCTGCAAAAATTCTATTTACAGAGGACTCTCCTTAGGCATCCCTTACAGGGAGGAAACCTTCACTGAACCCCGTCATTGTCCTAAATGTCCGTAAGTCTGTATTTTCATAGTATCCTATGAGTTTTTAAACTTTTAATCACCTCCTATTTTATATTTAAATGATCTGTATATTTGTTCATCTTTCATACTAACAATCTGGGAAAGACTGGATCGGATCACACTTATCTTTGTATACCTAGTACGTAGACCAATACCTGCAGAGAATATTTCCTTTTCATTTAATCTAAACGAACAGACTTGACTTCCTTCTGGCTGGTTCTGTTCTGAGATTCTGCCACTGAGCTTGGTCTTTAATCTCCGAAGTTGAAGCTGCCCAGAGAACCAGGTGCAACGTTCCCAGAACACTAGCAACACTACGGCCAGTTAACCGGAGTGGGCTGCTGTGAATTGGCCTCCCCAGACACGAAGTCCGGGGCGTAGAGCAAGAGCAGAAAGAGGATGGAAGCTGACCAAACCAGATTCCTGCTTCTATTATTTCTTTTCATGGGCCAAACATCTCCAGACGTTGCTGCCGAAGTCCAGGAATCCTCGGGTAAAAGAAAAAAAGAGTTGCGTGACCCTAGGGCGAAAGTATTGTGAAGGGAAGGGAAGGGAGTATGGTAGCGAGCTGGGTATTTTTCCTCCAGATGTGGAACATTTTCTAGGAAATGCTGGGTAAAGCTTTGTGTTGCATAGTGGAGAAAAGAGAAGTGTAGCAGTATTCTTCAGAGAGAGACTGCGAGGTGAAGTCACCCTCTATATAAAACAGTAAAGCCGTAGAATGACGTCAGCACCCCTAGAGACTGTGATCTCCTTGGCTTTAGTGTGGAGAGAAAAGTATAGATATCCTCAGCATTTAGAACTGCTTCTTCTGCACTCGATACCCAAAACCTTCTGCTTCTCTCTCTCTCTGTGTCTAGATGGTTCTGGTGCTTCCCGGGAAGCTGTGTGGCTCACAGATGTCCCAGCTACCATGGAATTCGTTGCTGCTGCTGAGGTGGCTGTCATAGGTTTCTTCCAGGTTTGTCCAGATACCCCATTTCTGTTCCGCCAAAGAACCAGAAACATTCTACCTCAGAGCAGACATGAGAGTCGCCTGCTGACCAGATGACACTGCACTAGAAGTCAAGGGGCACAGAGGTCACTTTCAGCTTATCAAGACATTTCAAGACATTCCCAGTCTCTGAATTATGTCTTTCTCATACTTGCTTCAAGACTTCTGAGTCATGGGGTGCCTGGGTGACTCAGTCAGCTGAGCATCCAACTTTCAGTTTCCACTCAGGTCATGATCCCAGGGTCATGGGATCAAGCCCCTCATTGGGCTCATCTCTGAGCATGGAACCTGTTTGGGGTTCTCTCTATCCCTCTTCCCCTCCCAACCCTCTATCTTTCTCAAAAAGAAAAAAAGAGCTCTGGTTCTTCTCATCGATAAATGCTTTCAGTCTTAGGTCAGTGTCTGGATTGCTGAAGCAGGGGCCAGAGTAAACCCAACTTCTATCATTCAGGCAACACATTAGTCCATAGTTAATCTCTTTCTAACAAATAGGCAGTCTCTCATTCTTCTTTCTCTTCGCTTGTTCTGAAATGTTGAAAAAGGATGACGTTTTGAATATTGAAGATATTAGCCTCCACCTTCCAGATTGGCCACCTGGCTAATGAAAGCAGCCATAAATGAAAGGGCACCATGCTGGCACTTTTATCTTTCTTTGAAGGTAACATCTGGTTATTCTCCCAGCCCAAGCCCTTACTCTTATTGCAGGCCTTCTTATCTATTTCCACTAATTAGTTACAACTCACCCTCACTCTGTCAGTTCTGTGTACACAGCTGGAAATAGCTGCCATGAGATGCATGTGGGGAAGGAAGACAGGGGAGCACATTTGTCAGTGACGAGAGACCTGAGCTGTAGAGAGAAACAGCCACCCTCAGAAAGGCACGGACAGGCAAGAAAGTGGGAATAGAGGAATTTGCAATAACTTCAACGGCCACCAGATGCCGTCCGTCATTTGAGCCATGAGTAATTGCACTCTAAGGAGAATTAAAAAAGGGCAAGCCTAGATTAGCAATTGTTCGTAGCCTCGAATGAACTCCACACACCCTTTCCAATGAGCAAGATACCAACTCCCTCTGCTTGACCCCAGGCACAAGGCTAGTCAGCTTCTTTCTTTTTGCACATCTCCTCCAGCCCAGGAAGATGCCCGAAAAGAATATGCCCCTTCCTGTTTATTGCACGGAGCTGCTCTGCGCCAAGGTCCTGTGCCAGCAGGGAACATGATGCCAGCTCCCTATAGAAGGATTGGATCTTTCCCTGCTCTTGGCTGCAGGCCTGAGCACTGGGGTTGGAACAACACATGAACAGTATCTTCACGGACGATACCTTAAGCTCAGGGCAGGGAAGGAGGATTGCTCTTCCACATCCAGCACACACTTTTGTTAATAAAACCCTCTAAGTTCCATTTTGACTTCCTTTATTATTCTTTTTTTTCCCTTTCAGGACCTTTGACAGTACCTCTTTATTTCTGCATTCCTTCTTTCCTCCACAAAGTGTTCCCAAGACATTTGCCTTCTCGGGTAGATCAATGACAGTATAGCCAAACGCCACAGACATCTATGATTTTGAGGCGAATAAACTGCAAGTTGTATGGTAAGGCCAGACAGGAGTTTCAGGCTTCACTACAGTTTGGGCGTTACCTATTAGCCCGCCCAGCCTGGAAAATTCAACAATATCACTGCAAACTTAGAGGTCCGTGTTGCTTCACTTGACACTAAACCAAGTCCGTTGTTTTTTTATACGGCTCTGCACATTTCTGTTCCCTACTCTATTTCTATGTGTCTCCTCTCCAAAATAATCCCTGTGAGTTTCCTTTTTTTCCCCTCTTGTTTTCAGGATTTAGAAATCCCAGCAGTGACCATATTCCATAGTATGGTGCAAACATACCAAGCCGTGTCATTTGGAATCAGCTCTGATTCTGAGGTTCTGGCCCACTACAACATCACTGGGAACACCATCTCCCTCTTTCGCCTGGTAAGTTGGATGGGCTGCTCGAGCCTTCCTTCAGTGTTTCCTTACGTTGTGGATTCACAAACTGTGAGACTAGAAAGGGCTCTATGGCTTTAACACTAATGATGGTGCCAGGGACCATTGAGTCAGGGACAATGATGACGAAGACGGTGGCTCAACTCAACCTTCCCAAACAGGTGCTGTCATGAGTTAGAAAGAGGACTGGACTGAGAGTCAAGAGGTAGGATTGTAGTGCCACTTTGTCACTGACCAGCCATGAGACACAGGCAAGTCACTTAATAGTTTTTAGTTTCAATTCCTTCATCTATAAAATATAAAGAGTTTGACCATATCATCTCCAAGGTCATTGTGAGCCCTAAAATTGTATATTTTTATATTGTTGGGAGTTCACTTACATTTACCAAACATTCATTAAATAGCCACCTTGTTTTCTGCAAGATACAGATAATAAAAACAGGTTAAATATGTCCCCTGCTCAATAGAGTTTAAAACATGGTAAAGAATGTAAACATAATTTACAAGTACCTACAATGCAAAGAATATCACTATGGATAAAGTTTTATAATGGTTAAAAGGATAAATGCAATTCAGGAACTCTGACCCAAATAATGGGTGGGGGGTGGTGCCTGGGTGGCACAGTTGGTTAAGTGTCCAACTTCAGCTCAGGTCATGATCTCGCGGTTCACAAGTTCAAGCCTCATGTTGAACTCTGTGCTGACAGCTCAGAGCCTGGAGCCTGCTTTGGATTCCCTGTCTCCCTCTCTCTCTGTCCCTTCTCTGTGCTCTCTCTCTCTCTCTCTCTCTCTCAGAAACAACAAATAAACATTAAAAATAAAGGGTAGATAAAATTTGGACAAAGTAGAAAAGAATTCATGTCCAAGGTGGGGAAAAAAATTAAACTTAAGAAATAATGATCAAGCCACTTTGACCCGATCTCAGGATACAAGCTTGGAGAAAACAAATGTAAGACAGAGAAGTTTGATTGAAACCATATTATGGAAAAACTTGAATACCAGTTTAGTGGGTTTGCACTTAACTAGGTTGGCACTGGAAAGCCCTTAAAGCCTTGAGATCAGGAGAGTGACATGAACAGAAATGTGTTTCAGCAAGATGATTTTGGCAGTGACGGCTAGGATGGATTGTTCAGCAAAAACACGAGAGTTAACGAGAGGACTTTTTTAAAAATTTTTTTACATTTATTTATTTTTGAGAGACAAAGACAAGTGTGGGGGCGGCGGGTGCAGAGAGAGAGGAAGACACAGAATCAGAAGCAGGCTCCAGGCTCCAAGCTGTCAGCACAGACCCCAACACGGGGCTCGAGCTCACAAACCGAGATCATGACCTAAGCCAAAGTCAGATGCTTCATCGACTGAGCCACCCAGATGCCCCGAGAGGACTTTTGCTAGGCTGACAAAATCAATCATGTACTAAGGGTCTGCCGTGGAGAGATGGTAATAGAAAGTGAAGAAAAGGCAGTTCCTGCTGATGATTAAATATAAAAACTGTGGAAAGGAGGCAAAGTTGAAAGCCAGGGTATATAGAAGTACTGGGGGCATACACAAAAATAGGGATTTCTGACCCTTCAGTTAGTTGTTGAGTTTGTAGTGTTGGTGGAATATCGAGATAAAGATGTCCCGGATCCACTGGAAATGAAAATTGGAACAAAACCTAAAGCTTTCAAGATTTCTGCACAAATGTCTTTCCCCCTCATGCCTCCATCCTCTATATTTCACTTCTCATCCACACCTCTTTTAAATGTGTTTTATATTCAGTGTCTCCAATTTTCTTCAAGCTCTTAAATACACTGCTCTCTTACTTATGCCTTGCACTCCCTTAAAACTTCTTTTACTGAGGTCAGCATTGCTTCCATATTTCCAAACCCGATGAACATTCTTTAGGTTTTATTTAAGTAAGATGTTATTTAAGTAAACATCTGCCATGTTTGACGCTGTTGACTGTCTCTTTAACATTCTTTCTTTCCTTAACTTCTAGGAGCCTACTTCTTAGGTCCTCTTCTTAGTCTCCTTGAGATCTTCTCTGCCTCCATCTACACTGCTTCCTGACCCAGTGCTTGTCTCAGTCCGGTTTATAGAATCCCTATTCTGTAGAAGCAGAGACTATTTTGTCCATTACTTCAACCACAGAGTCTAAAACAGTGTCTGTCATGTAGCAGGTGCTCATTAAGGGTTTGTTGAAGGAAGGAAGGAAGGAAGGAAAGAAGGAAGGAAGGAAGGAAGGAAGGAAGGAAGGAAGGAAGGAAGGAAGGAGCGAAGGAAGGAAGGAAGGAGCGAAGGAAGGAAGGAAGGAGCGAAGGAAGGAAGGAAGGAATGTGTTTTCCTTAGGTAATACAATTCTTATTGTTTGACTGTTATGTGTCTGTTGAGTATTTGAAATGCTTTATCTCTGCCTGGACCTCTGTCATGATTCAAATGCTTGTTCTATATAAGTATTTGGATATACTCATAAGCACTACCATCTCAACATCTTCAAAACTGAATTTATCATCTGCATCTACTAAATTATATTCTTTCCTCTAAAACACTTTATTGAATTCTTATGTTCATTTAGTCTATTTTTGCCTGTTAGACCTCCAGTCATATTGAATTTATATTCCTCTTCACTTTTTCTACTCTGTTTCTCATTTAGGCTCTTAGAATCTTTGACATAAACAATTTCAAAAGCTTCTTAGTCTCCCTTTGCTACTTCATATCCGATTTCTAGACTGGTATCACCATGCTGTATTTAAAATGGAAACTGGACCATGGCACTCTCTTCTTAAAGTCTCTTCACTATTGGGGCACCTGAGTGGCTCAGTCCGTTAAGCATCAGACTTCGGCTCAGGGCATGATCCCACGGTTTGTGGGTTCGAGCCCCGCATCGGGCTCTGTGCTGACAGCTAGCTCAGAGCCTGGAGCCTGTTTTGGATTCTGTGTGTCTCTCTCTCTGACCCTCCCCTGCTCATGCTGTCTCTCTCTCTCTCTCTCTCTCTCTCTCTCAGAAATAAATACAAAATTAAAAAAAAAACACCTCTTCACTATTCCCCATTTCTTGCAAGATAGAACAGCCAACGTATTTAATGTTACATATAGTCTTTTATGACCTGGCCACTATCTGCTTCTCTAGCGCCTTTTCCAACATGTTGCCACCGTAGGCTTTACCCTCTCACTTCCCAAGTATACACAGTTTGATGATACAATTCCATGATTTCACTCACACGGGCTGTTCCTCTGCCTAAAATGCCACCACCCTCAATGCCCCCTTTCACCTAGCCTCCCCCAGCTAACTCCTCAGATCCCAATGAGCGAGTTCAGACATTGTATCCTACACAAAGCCTCCACGAACCTTCAAATTGGCCTGCCTATTCCTCTATACTTCGATATCTCTATTTCCATTTATTGCTTTATAGTGCACGTCATATCTTTGTGTCTGTCTCACCTACGACTCCATTAGACCACGAGGTCTCCCTCCATTCAAGGGTAGGAACAGCAAGTTTGTTAGCATTTATATTCCAATATGCCTCTGGTCACCAAGCCCCTCAGAAGTACTTGAGAAACTGCCTCACCTCCAAAAGCACATCTGAGGGGCGCCTGGGTGGCTTAGTCGGTTAAGCGTCCGACTTTCGCTCAGGTCGTGATCTCGCGGTTCGTGGGTTCGAGCCCCGCGTCGGGCTCTGTGCTGACTGCCAGCTCGGAGCCTGGAGCCTGTTTCAGTCTGTGACTNCTCGGAGCCTGGAGCCTGTTTCAGTCTGTGACTCCCTCTCTCTCTGACCGTCCCCTGCTCACGCTGTCTCTCTCTCTCTCCTAGAAATAAATAAAACATTAAAAAATTAAAAAAAAAAAAAAAGCACATCTGAGTTCCCTCACCAATTCTTTCCCCACTTGGACAGTAGTTGCACATTTGCATTTCACCGTTGTGAAATAGGATTCAGTGAAGCTCTTCCAATAGAAAGCTTTTGGTAAGAAAGATGGACGGTTGGGCTAATGCTTTTTGTGTGACTGTGGAACCACGGGTAGCAACCCTTCAATAGACAAATTCTAAAGAGCTACAACTCCACAGTACTTCTTTCCCTGTTCGTTATTTTAAGTGTCATAAAGAATGGATTTAAAAGTCTTGGTACTAAAAAAAAAAAAAAAAAAAAATCAAATAAATAAATAAATAAATGTCTTAGTACCACCAAGAAACACATGTGGGGAAGAAAAACAAGCGCTGTTGCTTCCAAGGTCTCGACAGGTTTTACAACCTCTAATGGGCACATTAGCTCTGCTTACAATCTATTCTTTGTAAAGCCCTGTTGATGACTTCCCAGAGCTGTTCACGCTCCTTTCGCATCTGCTTTTTGTTTACCACTAGAGGCAGCCCTACTCTGAATGAACTCTGGGAACCCTGTGGAGGAGATTATTGCTGTGCCTTACTAAAAACAAACACACCAGTTCCGCCCCATTCCGTTGGCAGGTCTGGGAGAGGTTCAGCTTGTGCAGCCCCAACTTTTAGATAAACAAATTTTTCTCAGTTTAGACTTTCAAAAATTTGGTCCATATTTTAATAGGATTTTTATTCAGGAGTTTGGGATGATTTTTTTTTTTTTTTTTTTTTTGGAAAAAGAGAACATCAAGACTATTCATTTTTAAACTAGGAAATGGGAACCTGTTGCAAATGTCTTGGTACCTATCTTCATCTTAAATGTATCATTCATGCGGTTTGTTTTTGTTTGTTTTTAGTGCCTGGTTTATGATAGACACTATGCTACGTGTTTTTTGGTGTTCTAACTTTTAATTGTCACAAGAATCTGACGAAATCATTATTATCATCCCTGAATTACCAACAAGGAAGCTAAAGTTCCATGAGATCAATTTCAGTTCTCAAAAGTCTATAGAGTAGGGGCGTCTGGGTGGCTCACTCGGTTAAGTGTGGACTTTGGATCAAATCATGATCTCACGGTTCCTGAGTTCGAGCCCATGTCAGGCTCTGTGCTGACAGCTCACAGCCTGGAGCCTGTTTCAGAA